AACTTTAAACTTGGAGCCACTAGTCCTTATGAAAAAACTTGAAATAATGAACGGAAGGATTTGTTGAGCTTGGTCAGCTAAGATTCCCATTCATTTAGAAAAGCTTGTGTTTTGGAAATGGATGCTGACTTCTTTCCCAGATTTTGTGTGTGTGTGTGTGTGTGTAAGGAAACCCTAAAGGCTGTCTGATTCATTACAGAGACCCACAGGAAAAAATCTCTGATCCACCTGAGACGCAAAGGCAAATGTAATTAAGTAACATATGGATGGATTCAGACCAGTTCAAAGCATGCTAAGAAACACAGGGTTTTAAAATGTCAATGTAATGTATTATTTGATGTTTGGGTCTCTCTCCAATTCTTTCTCTCCTCTCCAACACACACCTCAGGCTGCCTGCGGCCTCTCAGTTTTTAATAGATTTCGGGCAATGCAAAAATCACACGTCTTTGTACGGTTATAAAGTTTACAGCCTGTTTTCTCGAACAATCTTCTTGCTCTTATAACTTCCAAGGTGGGAACTGAGTGTATATATGTGTGTGTGTATATGCATATTATATATATATATATATATATACCCATCTGGAAGAAAAAACACACCAAAAACACAGCAGGCTAGGACAAGTTTGTCATCCATATGCATACATACATATCTAAAAATATATACAGAGAGAGTTGTTCTACTGAAATTTTGAAAATCAAGAATCCCCGCATGGCAAGCCAAAAACACTGTTCTTGGGGAGCCTTTATTTCAACCGGAATTGCCTGGGACTTGGTCCATGCTCCAAATCCCAGGCAATTCCAGTTGAAATAAAGGCTCCCCGAGAACAGATTTAACCTTGTAAATGGTATTAATGATTGGTTGTTGCCAAGGAGTAGGGAAGTGTGTGGCGGAGCAATGAAGTGATATGGAAGAATTTATCACCATGAGACGGCCAACAAAAATTGCATTGCCTGCATCCAGTAAGGTCTTACGGGTCCCTCAACATCCATACTGGGCCTTTGCCATTCATTTCAGACAACAGTAAGAGCAGCAGATTTTTGTATCCTCCTTCTCCTGCTGTGTGCAAAGATGGATGAAGGTATCTAATACTTTATTTCAATTAAAACTTGAACCAAGGAAGAGCACAGGCCAATTGGTTCCATAGCCTGGAATATATCAGATAGGATCTGGTTGGGCCTAATACTCAAAAGAGAGACAGCATGGCGTAGTGGTGGTTTAAGTGTTGGACTATGGCTCTGGAGACTGGGTTTGATTCCCTACTTGGGCGTGAAACCCACCTTGGGTACGTCACTCTCTCTCAGCCTCAGTGGAATGCAATGGCAAACCTCAGTGGAAGGCAACGGCAAATCAAATCTTGCCAAGGAAACTCCATGATAGGTTGAAAGGCACACAACAATACTCAGACAGAAAAGAAAAGATTACAAATGATAAAAGAGGAACTAGATTGGAGTTGTACTCTTTTCCAGGGATATATTTTATATTCTCTAGAGCAGTGGTCCCCAAATGTTGGTCCTCCAGGTGTTTTGGACTTCATCTCCCAGAAGCCATGGCTATTGGGGCCAACAATCAGAAATGCAGGGAGGTGAAGTCCCAAATGTCTGGAAGACCAAAGTTTAGGAAACACTGGTCTAGAGCAATGTTTCCCAAACTTTGGTCCCCCCGATGTTTTGGACTTCAACTCCCAGAGGCCCTAGACAGTTGGACCAACCATCAGGAATTCAGGGAGCTGGAGTCTCAAATTTTTGGAAGACCAAAGTTTGAGCATCATTGGTCTAGTGAATAGAGATGCCCAAGAGAATAGAAAAACGAGACTACTGAATGCCCCCATTCCTTCCAACGAATTAAAACATGGCATCCCACAAATGTCGCAAAACAACGTTAATTGGAATTCTCGTATCGTTTGATAGATAAAAATCACATAAAAAAATTAGAGGCACTTGGCTAATACCGACTGCAGCATCTGGAAAGGCAGGAGGCGTTTTGATGGTCCCGTGTTCATTTGGGATGAAGGCCCTCCTGTTTGGATAATCAAAGAGTTAACCGCATTTGTCTGAACACACAAATAAGAGATAATTAGGAAACAAATTCGACAGACATCTTGAAAGAGGCCAAAGACCTTTGATCTTTATAGACAAGAAAGCCTTATTCTGCCCCTTAAGGTTTTGGGGGTGCACAGCAGATGTCATGAAAAGGAAGGCAGGGAAGGTTGTTTAGGAAAAAAAAATATCAGAGGAGAGGATGATACCTCTCTCGAAAGATCAGCTCACACCTAATTCCATAATAACCTTATTATCTTAACTGGCTGCATATGTCTTGGGGTACTTGGCCACAAGATTATAGAGGAAAGGAAAGGCTGACAAAATAATTAAATCTGCAATTTGCCAACTTTGGCTGATATGACTTTGAAACCACCTTTGCAGGAAGTTTTACAGCTTGTTCCGTGACGTGTATATTGCCTCCATCAGGTTCTTCGCTGAGCTTTTTCTTTTCTTTTGGATGACTAATGGATTAATACCCGAGGACCATCGGCTGAAAGGCCAAACCCACAACCTGCTTCTAATTTGGCAAAAATGGTCCAAGCTTCCTCTTTGGTGTTTTGACCTTTCTCCAAATATCATGTGAAAATCCTATCAAAAGACTCACTCACTCTGGATTTTGCTATTTTTTAAAAAGAAAATTGCAACATTCCACTTTCTGCGTTGGTTTATTCACCAGTAAAAAGCCCATTTAAATGCTCATGATGGTTCATTGACAAGAAAGGATGGCCATTCTGATGTCTGTGACAATTCATTGGCTTCAGTCTAACATCTACTTAGCATAGAATAAATATCCACATGCTGACATATGCCACGGCAGCACTACACAACCTCCATGCAGGATAGCAACATCACGCAACACATTCCAATGACTGGGTGCCTTATGCAATGCAAAAACACATGTTGCCCAAGTGGAATGCAAAGTATAGGTTGCACAACTGCACTGTGCAATCACACCACAAAGCATAAAAGGCACAGCCACAATGCAAAGTATAAGACAGATGACTGCAATGCACAATCACAGTGCAAAGTATAGGCAGCACTACCACAATGCAAAGTATTGAATGCACAACCGCAGTGCACAATCCCAATGCAAAATATAAAATGCACAACCAAAAATTGCAATCACAATGCAAAGTAAAAAGAAGGCACAACCACAATGCAAAGTACAGGGTGCACAACTGCAATGCACAATCTCAATGCAAAATATAGAATGTACAACCACAATGTGCAACAACAATGCAAAGCAGAGGATGCACAATCACAGTGTAAAATATAGGATGCACAAGTGCAATGCACAATCGTAATGCAAAATACAGAATGCACAACCGCAATGCATGACATATAGGAGGCACAACTGCAATGGTAAAGAATAAGATGCACAACCACAATGCAAAGCAAAGGATGCACAAGTGTAAGGTGAAATCACAATGCAAAATATAGGATGGACAACTACAATGCAAAGTATTGGATGCATGACTATAATGTGCAATCACAATGCAAAATATGGGCTGCACAATCTCAATGAAAAGTACAGGATGCACAACTGCAATGTACAACCACAGTGCAAAGTACAGCATCTACAAGGTGCAACTTGCGAAGGCAAGGCACAGAGGAGCGTGCTGTCTGCATGACTCCACTTCCACCGGTGCAGAATACATCCATTGTGTTGTTGTGACCCTTTGGCTCCACTTGTATAGCATGACTTACATCCCTAAGCATATTCTGGTCATTGACAAGTGATGTCCATGATGGCTTATTGACTAGTTAGAGATGCCTGTTCTGAGGCTTGTGGTAGGTAAGACATGCCCACTAAGATGCCTGTGATGTTACATTGACTAGTAAGAGATGTCAGTTTTCAGCACTGCATTCAGATTCTTTAAATTCTTTCACTTGTGCTAAGGGCCCACTGACAAAAATGGTAAGCAAGCAAGCAAATGAAACAAGGATAATGGTTGAGATTGTGTTTTCTGCTTGTGTTGTGTCACTAGCGTAATTACATGGATGGCAGTGTTGCGGGTGGGTTAGGCTGGCGTACAGCTCCCAGTGGCTATTCCAGAGCAATAGTGGTTGTTGGTGGGGGTTGCGTAGTGCTGTGCCCATGCATGGTTGAACTGCAAATGAATGGAGAACCACTTGCATAAGGAGAGATCGTATACCTTCTTACACAAGCCTGGGGGGGGGGGAAGTGCAGCCCATGGAGCCAACTTTGGCAAAACTCTTTTAAATCCTAACCTCTCCCCAAGAATTTTGGTTAATCATCCCCCAATCTTCTCCATCCCCCACGGGCCTTCCCATTTGGATCCAAAAAGTTGTAGTCAGGATGGAAGTGGACAAAATGCAGAAAATAAGGTGAGTCGTCTCATCCCAGAGTGAAAATCCATGTGGTTGAATCCATGTGGTTGAATCCTGGACTTTAGCTCCTGGGGAATGCTTTCCCTCCCTCTTTCTTCCACCTCCCTCTCAACTCAACCCTCAACGAAGACCACAATTTTATAGTGACATAAGAAAACAACCTTATTACAAGTACCCAGAGACCCCATTCTGTTAAATCTGGAACATTAGATACATTCCATTTAGTTTTCAGGGTCAGTTTCTCTCTTCCTGGCTGGCGCACGAGCAAAAAAGCACATAGCCAAGACATATTTATAGCAACCGCTACTTATCGGGTTGCTGTAAATATGTCTGTGCTCAAATAAATCAACCCTGGGATTATACAGCAAAGTAATCCCATGGCTGGGCTGGAAGTGTTGGTGAGATGCTGGACTGTCAAGGAAAACCTCAAGCATTGGCCATGGGGAGATGATAGAATCGCATACCCACACATCACGCTCTCCCCAAGGCTCAGGAAGGCTTGTTGCTGTTAAGAAATGAGGAGTTAAGAAACATGGAGTTAAGAAATATTAAGAAATCAGGGAGTTTCCTGCTTCAGCACAGCGACTTGAACCTGGATCTCCAAATAACCCCCATGCTGAGATTCGAACCCTAGTCTCCAGAGTCCTAGTCCAATGCTCAAGCCACTACACTACTAGGGCTAGTCTCCATGTTTAAAATACTCATTGCAGTTGAATAAAATGTGATCTAGCCAAATGCAATGTGTTCAGGCTCCTCTCGAAAAACTCTGTAAACTCAGCTTTCATGTGCATAGTTACAATTTGCTAACAGGGCTTTGTCATAATTTTTTGTGGGTTTTTCGTGCTGTGCGGCCATGTTCTAGAAGAGTTTCTTTCTGACGTTTTGCCAGCATCTGTGGTTGGCATCTTCAGAGGGTTTTGTCATGTTTCTGTAAAGTAGCTACAGATTTGTAAAGATTTCGTACAAATTTCATACCGGTACGAAATGCAGCCTGTGATACAGAATCTCAGCCCTTATTATTTTTCCTACGCTGTGACTCGGTTTCCACCCCATCCCCTTCAATTGGTCAAACTTTTTTTATGAACCATGGCTTTGCTGTCAAACAGAACTGTTTCTCTGCTTTATTTCCCGTCATGCAAAGAGAGGAGAAAAAGAAGAAAAGCCACACATACGCACTTCTTGTAATCTGAGTGTCAGGACCGATTAAGTTGATTTCCCTTTCCAGAGAACTGACATCAGCTTGTCATTTCCCAAAAGGGACGGAAACTTCAAAACAGACCATGTTTTCCTTGTAACATGTCACAGATTGCGTTAAGAGCCGTATGTGGAATTCTGTCACTTAATGTGTTAAAATTGGCACCGATCTCCTTCGTGGTGCAAGGCCAAAAATCACTTAGCTAACAATACATGCCATTTCCTTGCTTGGGCCTGGGTTTCACTCCCCTTTTATGAGCCTCCCAAGTGTGACTCTTTCACCAAAAAATCCATACCCTTGGTTGTGAAAAAAATATGCATTAACTTTCCCCCCTCCAACACATCAAATGGAAAAGAATAAGCAGCTGTTTTGATTCACTACCAGGAGAATTAATGGCCTTTGCAAACTCCTTATAAATATTAGAAGCAGATGAATTTATCAGAACTGACAAAAATGTCTTTCTGTTGACAAGACAGCTAATTATTGGGCGTTTCTATTTGATAATAAATGGATGTTTCCTCCAGAGTGAGGGGAAGTGGATAGAGGGACTCCCAAGTAAATGAATATTTTCATGGGCTAATGTGTAAAATCCTATTTGGAGAAAAACCTCCAACTTCTGAAGAGGGTTATCAAAGGCATGTAGAGAACCTCCCTTCACTACCCCAAAGAGAAAGTGGGAAAATGTTGATATTCTTTGCGGCCACTCTGAATTTTTACATCTTTCAACAAAGTGAGCTGAAAAGTGGAAACATCTGAAATTGGTCTTCAAAAGAGAGATTCAGCAGAAAGGAAAAACTGTGGGTCATCTCCCTGAGTGCTGGAGAACAGCTGGGGTTCTCTTGTTATTCTTGTTGTGGTCACCCCTTTGGGTCTCTCAAAATATTGCCTTGAAAATTTGGACTAAAATCCATGGTGGATTTACTGCCCCCTTGATGTAGGAGCTGGTTAAGACAGTGGTGGGCAAACTTTGGTGTTCCAGATGTTTTGGACTTCAGATCCCAGAATTCCTAACCCCCACCCATGCTGGCTGGGGCTTCTGGGAGCTGGAGTCCAAAATACCTGGAAGACCAAGGTTAGGGTTAGGCGAAGATGTAAGATTTTGTGATGAAAAGCAAGGCAAAAGCAGAGGAACTAAGATGATCAGGAGTATGGAAAACCTACTCCACAGGGATACATTGAAGGGTCTGGGCATGTTTAAACTGAAAAACAGAAGTCCAAGGTGGCATGCTAGCACTCTTTAATACCTGAAGGGCTATCTCATAGAAGTTGGCAAGAAGAGATTTCATGAATTTAAGAGGGTACCCCAGAGATGCTTCAATAATGGGATTCTTTCATGGCAGGAGGTTGGATTAGATGACCTTTGTAGAACCTTCCAACTATATTTTTGTGGTCCTTTAAAGGACCTTCTTTTTTAACAAAGAGTTAAATGATTCTTTGACCTAAGGATGTTTGGATCTCCATTTTTAAAGGAAGCAACCTATCTCATCTTTGCCAGGTTAATACACTGAATGGAATACAGCTACGGTATTCTTCAGATGGCACACTTTTTTGAACAGCATCAAAAAGCTAAGCAAAAATGCGCATTTGAAGAGAAAGTGCATGCAAAAATGTGGGTTTTAGGGAACCAGGTGGAATTAACTAAATAGCTGATATAGACTACAGGTCATGATGTTGAGTCATGGAAGTGGGAAGCTGATTTACTACCTCCGCCTTATAATAGATATGACTTGGAAGGGCAGCTATGAATGAATTAGTCAAGATCCTGAAGTGTCAAGATATATCACTGAACACTAAAGTTAGGTTGTCCACATGCCATCATATTTTCCATTTCTGTGTATAGTTTGAAAGCTAGGCACTGAAGAAAGCTGATAGAAAGAAAATCAATTCACTTGAGATGTTCTGCTGGAGAAAAGTTCTGTAGATTGTATGGAGTACCAAAAAGGATATAAACCAGTGGGTCCAGGAGTAAATCAAGTCTGAACTTTCCGTAGAAGCCAAGATGACTAAACTGTTGTACTTTGGCTATGAGAAGACATGACTCACTAGAAAGGACAATAATGCTTGGCAAGGTGGAAGCTGGTAGGAGAAGAGAAAGACAGCATTCCAGATTGTTTGACTCCATCAAGAAAGACATGGCCATGAGTTTGCAAGGCCTGAACAGGGTAGTTGATGATAGGGGGACTTGGAGGTGTCTTATTCATAAAGTCACCGTAAGTCAAAGTTGACTTGATGGCAGTTAGGAACAACAATGTATGTATCATTGAACACATACATAGGGTCTGTGGTTAATCTTGACTGGAGTAGCCTTGCCCAAGGTTGGTGACTTGCCCATCTTCAGACATAAGAAAAGTGTAAATCCTGTGGCCCTGTAGATGGCAAGACTGCATTTCCCATCTGCCTTTGCCAACACAATCCATAATCAGAAATGCTGGGATCTGTAATCCAAGTACATCTGGAAGGCTGCACACCTCTCATGCCAAGGTATAAAGAGAGTTAAGTTTAAAGAGGTTTGGCCTTTCTACCAGAGAAGTACCCTCAAATATAAAAATAAAATAAATGACCTTTCTAGGGTAGGGTGTTTTTGTTTTGTAGTTGAACATCCTTTCTCCTCTCAGCCTATCCAAGATGCTTCCCCCTTCTCCCTCCTGCTTCTGTCTTGGAATAGCCTTCAAATGAAGGAAGATTAATTCCTGTGTTTTTGACATTCAGTGTTTTTATAACCTCCTCATCCAAAGGAACACCGGAATCCCGGAGGAGGAATGTGTGTTTGTGTGTGTGTAGGAGGGGAGTTTTTGTCTTTCAAAATGCTATGGGACCTATCACCAGCACCTGATTGAATATCAAGGATTTGGGGTGGGAGGGAGAGAAGCAGGAACGTAAAAGTGCAGTGGGAATGCTAAACAGAATTTGCTGGTCTTGCTGTCTGGAATTGGGATCGCCTCTCACCAGGAAGCAGCTAAACAAACTCTCAGGATACATATCCAGAGTTGTCCATGCAGCAAAATACAACAAAAATCCAAAATCCACAAAACAGTGATGCCTTCATTGGGCCAAATAAAAAAAGCAGAAAATATGCCATGCAAGAAGAGGTTCAGAAACTTAGTAATAAACATCACAACCATAAAGATAAAGAAGCTTCCTTGTCTAATCCTCAATCTGTCTGGACAGCTATGGTTATTTCACAGTAAACAAGATGCTCTCTGAACATGATCAAGGGTTCCCTTCAACATTATCGTCATGGCACACCATTCTTGTCAACAGAGTTCTCTGCTATAAGTAAAAAGTCTTTGCAACTTTATTATCATACCTCATGCGGATGTGAGTACATGAAGAGCCAAGCCATAAGAAATCACTGTGAAAAATACTTGTTCTCATTTTTTTCAGATTGCTAAGAGAAGATACATTTGTTTGAAAGTCCCTGCTTGTCCAAATCTAGCACATCAGGAACAGGAACAGCTTTCTTGATATGCTAATTGTTTAAGCTCAGAAAGTTTCCTTTTTTTACATGGACCGAGTTTTCCAATATGGGATATGAAGTGGTTTTGGATAATACCCCAAAACACAGACAGGCTTTTTCAATTGCTCACTTCACCCCCTTTCCCACATTCGGTCTCAACGAGAACTTCACAACCACCACCAAGTCCAGCACCACATGAAAGCCACTTCAGAATCCAGAGCTCTTGATAAAACCCTGCTTTGTTCCTTGCAGGGCTCTGAATTAATAATATTTGACTTTGGGATCCTTGAATTGATTACAACATTGTTCTTTCCCTTCCTTCCCTTTTTAAAGCATGCAACCACACAGAGACACAAGGAGGGGGCACCCTGCCCTGCGTCTCCTCCTTTCCAAGGATGGAAGAAGGCAATCTGGGTGGCCAGACAAGTGATGAAACGTCTTTCTTTGCTGTTAGGTTGCTCTCTGACAACATGCAGAAGAAACCAGAGGGAGGAAGAGGATGAGCAAGGCCAAGAAGCTGAAATGACAAGGAGTTGGCTTCAAAATAACTTCCTCCAATGATTACTGTTCTGGAAACCATGTCTTATGAGGAAGGATGGAGAGAGCTGGGTATGTTTAGCCTGGAGAAGACCGAGAGAGGCGACATGATAACCATATTTAAATACCTGAAGAATGTCATGAAGAAGATGGAGCCAGCTTGTATTCTGCTGTTCCAGAGACTAGGACCAATGGATTCAAATTATGAGATTCCACCTAAAAACTAGGAAGAACTTCTTGACCAGAGGACTTGTTGGACGGTGGAATAGATCACGTCAAATAGGGTGGATTCTCCATCTTTGGAGGTCTTAAACCAGAGGCATGGCAGGAAGTTGGAGTAAATGTCCCTTGAGGTCCCTTCTGATTTTATATGGCAGCAACTAAACCACCTCTGAGTATTCCTTGGCTACGAAAACCCTATGAAATTCATGAGGTCCCCTTCTATGAAGGGGAGATGCTAGCTTTCCACTGATCAAGCAGAGCACCTGCA